GCTGGGAACTACTGTTGGGGAGCGGCCGCAAAGCGGGGCAGAGGGCTTCACTGGGCGCTCGCCCCTATAGCGGGGTCGGCGGATAAGATAGTATGCTATACTATAGTATAGTATAAAGTGAGATATCATAACATAAGATAATACAAGGGAGTCCAAAATATCAAAACATAGTATAACATAGTTGAAACATAAGACAGTACATTTTTTAATATATTGTTACAGTATAAGACAAGATGGCATAATGCACTTTACTATACCAATCACGATAGTTCTATCACCGAAGAAGATGGCATGGAGGACTCCCGTGGGGAGACGGCCTACAGCCTGGCCTCGCTCTGGGGCCACCGGCCGGAGCTCTTCCGAAGCCTCCGCAGCCCGGTGAAGGGACAAGAAAGCACCAGAGAAAGAGGGGGTAAGGGGATGTAGGATTGGGGGTTTTCGGGTTTTCGGGTTCGGAGTCTTCGAGTTTTTTAGGGTTTGGGAGTGGGGGTTTGGGCAATTCACTGGTCGAATAAAACCTCTGAGGCGGCCGGCTGCCCTTGTCCGAGCCACCCAGTTCCTTGGTGCTCTTCGACGGCCTCCTGCTGCTGCGCGTAGAGCGCTTGAACCGCACGCTGCTGGCAGCTGGTGACTTGCAGTGAAGAAATCCTAAACCCTTCACCCTAAAGGAAGATATCGGAAGGTTGGAGTTTCGTGGCTTGACACCGTCTGCCGCGCGAGGTGGTGGCCGGCACTTCGAGGTCCCCAACCACACGAAGCTGACAGTGGAGTTTGCTGCATCCACTCTAGAGCCCCTCGTTAAGTTTTGTTAAGAGCCACTGTGCTTGTGCATCTTGTGGTGCAATCTGCTCTAGGCCCGTACATGTGGCCAAGGTCGTGGAAGCAGGCAGGTTATGCCCTGCATGATGCAGAAGCCTTCCTTGAAGGGCACGAAATTTGTGAGCACGAGCTCACCATCCAACGAGTGATGCTTGGCGAGCTGCTTCTGCTCATTTGCCAAGAGCTCTATAATCATGTCAATCGGCTGTTCTGAATTGAAATTCGGTCTTTCAGCATGCACCCGCTGGAAATACATGTGCGTGCCACATATGGTAGGGACTCAAATCATATCTTCGTGAGTCAAACTGTGCCTGGCCCCAGCCTTTCAAACGAAGGCGAGTTTGTTGGTGATCCGTATTTCCTGAACGCGTAAAGCAGCTGCCGTCTGTGTTTCGTCCTCTCCAGGAATGGTGAACCGTGGTCTTCACGGGCAGGCGAGCTGCAGACAACCGATTTCATCAAGCTCCAGGAGCCCGAACGCTGTTCAGCTCTACCTAAGGCGAAGCTAGCTTAGGCCCCAGTCCCTCTGTAAACGGTGTGGTTCAGGACCGGAGACAGGTGCTGCGGTTCTGCGACTGGATGAGCGCTGGTTGGACAGTCAAGACGGACAACAACGGCGACACCAGATTCTGCCACTGGGGTGCGAGGAAGATCGCGAAAGTTGTGATGTGCGAGGAGGACGCACCAGAAGCAGCCGAGATCGGAGACTTCCTGCTGAGTTTTTCATAAACCGACCAAGCACAAAGCCGGCTTGATTTGCTCTAGCATCCCACTGGGGACACATTTTCCCATCCCCGTGTGGGATGAACATGTGAGACCTGACTTGCGGACAGTGTACAGTGTACAGCTGCAGTCAATGGGAGCAAACGCGTTTGCCATGTCTGCTGACCGGACTTGCAGGAAAGCTTGCCATTGCAAGGTCACATCTACTTCCCCTCGCCTACGGACTGGAGAGCGCTGTCCATTTACCAATTGGTAACCGCCCCGGCCTCGGCTTCCTTGGCAAACGCGTTTTCCTTTCTTGTGACGGAATTCCACTGCTGCAGGACCGCTTCGCCGATGGGGACCCTAGGCCGGAGCTTGCCAGTCCAACGCCTCGCATCATCCTGCGTCTTGTATCGGGTAGTGATGGCTTGCTCCCATGGTCAGGAAGCAGAACCGCTGTTTCACTCTTGACTGCGGATGCGACAGGAACAATGAAGCCTTCAAAGGCGGCTTCGATGTCCGAGATATGACCTTCAGGCAAGGTGCAGATTTGCTCCCTCTGGCAAGGAAGCAGCATTGAAGAGCAATGTCATCAAGTTGTTGGTTCTGCTACACGATTGGCTGGTTACTTCAAGGGAACGTGCATCATTGGTTGCGCAGGCATGGAGGCGACTTCGTAGGACTTCGCTCGAAGCTGGACTACATAAAAGGCCTTGGCTGCCAGGCACAGAGGGGTGGTTCCGAAAGACAAGACATGGCTGTGATCTTCGGCAGAACGTTTTTCGTGGGTGGGTTTGCTGTTCAAGAAAGTCCTAGGTCCTAGGCATCAGCTGGAGATTCAGAGTGGTCGACTGCACATGCTGGCCTGTTCGACAGATCTGATTTGTCACATCGAAAGCCACGAACGGGTGACTGGGCACCGCAACTAGATGCGCTGGCCCTGCATCGTGTAAGCAAAACAATTGTATCGTCTTACCTGCGAGATAATGTCCCCCATTGGTGCAGCGAGCTACACACTGGCGATCGTTTCGAGGGAGCAAGTGCGTGGGATGAGACAACATCTAGCCCTGAGTGTGAAGATAGTGGCGAAACTGTGACAAAGAGATCCATGCTGGCAGCAAGTTCCGCACTGGAGTTTCCAATCATGTCGCAAGCTAATTACCAAGCACAGGTGAGCTTTCGACTAAAGGATCAGAATCCCCAGCAACGCCGAACTGGATTGCGTCTGTTCGCGGAGGCCATCTGGATTTCTCCTGTTTTCCAAAACGGGAGCCTTCCTCAGCACAAGCTTACAGCGAGCTGCTGTGCGAGTCTGTGGGCGAGTTGCGCTTCATGATGATATCTACTGCAAGGTACAACTACTACCACCAGTATGCTCAGCAGGACTTCACCCTGCTAGATCAACGTCTCGGCACCCTCGAGGAGTTGAGGGCCGAAAGCCCAGCAGCAAATGGGGATCATGATCGAATGGAGCGCGTAAAGGTGGGAACAAGGGTCACCACTTCACATGCAGAAAAGCACAAGTACAGCCAGAATTAGGAAGGCACAATCTCAGAACACTATTGATGGGACATTTGCATGTACCAGTCCTAGTTGCAGTAGCCATAGCAGCAGGATCAACAGGCGAATTGAGAGTGATGGTCGTCGTAGGTAGTGGTGGCGGTGGTTGTTGTGGTGGCGGTTGTGTTGTGTCAGCAGTAGTAAGTAGTACATAGTAGTAGTAGTAGTAGTAGTAGTAGTAGTAGTAGTCGTAGTAGTATCAGCAGTAGGAAGTGGTAGTAGTAGTAGTAGTAGTAGCAGTAGTAAGTAGTACGTAGTAGTAGTAGTAGTAGTAGTAGTAGTAGTAGTAGTAGCAGCAGTAGGAGGTGGTAGAAGTAGTAGTCGTAGTTGGAGGTAGTAGTAGTAGTCGTAGTAGTAGCAGTCGTAGTAGTGGTGGTAGCAGGAGAGCTGATAGCGAAGCGGCAGCGAGCTGAGGCCTTAACGCAAGCGGCCCACGATCGGGGCATGTACGTGCTGATTGCGGGCGGCTCAGTCAGTTCATCGGTCTCCTGGTAGGGCAACTTGGGGAAGAGAGAGGGAAAAGGACAGCTCGGGAGGGGGAGAGACAGAGAGAGACGAGAGCAAAAAAGTGGCTACGCGGCCGAGACTGGAATACATGACGAGGGGGGACAGCGCCGACGTTTGGAGCTTCGGCTCAACACTCGCAGCGCGCAAGACAACCCAGGAAGAGAGACGTCCGATGCCCTTGAGTTCTTGGCTTCGCTTGAGAGCAACTTGTGATGTATCCTCTTGCAGTTCAGGACGTAGTCATGAACCACATGGGCAATGAGTTCTTCTTCGAGGGTCATCAGACCGACACGGACCGGGCCACAGTCTCTGGTTCTGGTCCTTGGAGATCACAACAGATCGGATGGACTGATGTCCTCCTGTGTTGGATGTTGATGTGTGTTGGCCAAGTCCAGCTGAGAGCGTCAGCGACTTGCAGTTTTGGTCTGCACGGAAGTGTGAATGAGACGTAAGGCTCCCTTCCGATTCCACGAGAACCATGGTCTCCGGGAGTACAGGCTGCGCAGCTGTGCTGTCCTAGTACGGCGGGTTTCCACACTTCAACGGTATTTCTGTGGACATGCACTCGATCCTTGTGCTTCCAAGCTCAGAGTTGTGGAGGCTAATTACGCGCCGTGCTGCGAGCGAGCTCTACGACACTCCGGTGCGCACGGGCCAGGGTTTCTACCACCCGTGGAGAGGTTCAGAGAGCAAGAGTCGTCAAGAGCACATGCGCCGGAACTACACGTCTGCTCACTGGACAGGCTGGAAAACAGCCCTACATGGACTTCTACTTTAACAACACTTGGGTTGAAGAGGCTCGCGTTGCGGCTTCAGTTTGCCCGGCATGTCATCCAGTGGCAGTGCACTAATGGCCAAACGCAATTTCAGGGCTTGGGTGTGCCTGGTCCAGGCGAAGTATGCAAGCCCGTTCTACGGACAATACGGCGAAGTGGCAGCCTCAAAGGTTTTAGGACAAGCTCCAGTTCGAGAGTCTGCTTCTCGGTATCAGGCTCTGCCAGACATTAGACATCTTGGCTAGGAGACTTCATTCCTGAGATTCTCCAAAGCCCAACTCTCAACACAGCAGCCCGAGGCCGCGTGGGATCAGGGCCAAGGGACTTATGACGGCCCGTCACCCGGGTCGACTCAGTGCGATGTTCTGAAGTCCCAGAATTCTGGATGGAAGTTGTCTGAGCATGAAGGGCGTCTCCGAAAAGCCATGTCACTATCCAGCGGCAGGATCAGACTTCCACCACAACGGTGACCTGCAGAACTATGCAGACCCCTGGGAAATTAATGCCGGGATCCTGTGGGAGGTTGTTAACACGATGATTGCTGATGTTGCATCACAACAGGAAGTCCCCCCCCACCACTTTTGCAGGCAGCGGATGCTGCAGAGTAGAGTATCCGGTTGGCACCTCGACTGCCACTCAGGTTGCCAAGATCTATGGCACCATGGACGACTTGAGGCTGGAGCACAGCCGCGTTCAGGACGTTCTGAGTGCCACGGTCCCCCCTCTGAACGATGGTCTTCACAACCAGAAATCCTGGGAGGACAAATACATTGCCATGACGCAAGCCCTCATCCAAAGTGCCGACGTGGATGGCTTCCGAGTAGACACTCCGATGCAGGCTCCGTTTTTCCATGGACTTGAAAAGCTCGCTCTCTCTCTCTCTCTCTCCCCGTCTCTCCTGTCTGCTTCGAGGTTTGCTTCGGGTTTTTTGGGGTTTTATTGGGGTCCACAGGGTTTAATTGCCCCCACATGCGCTGGAGCCTTGGATCGCGCAGGTCCCCTTGCCTTTCTACAAGCGCTGGGCCCGAAGCTGAGTCCCGGATGCCGACTCTGCACTGATGCTAAGAGGCTGACACTGCCATGCCCCAAGCGCCAGGCACCAGCGATCCGAAGCTTCGCGAAATCGCTGGGGAAGGACATCCTGGTGACTAAAGCCCTAAATATCCGAAAACCCCGAATCCCGAATCAAACAGCAAAGACCCTGGACCTGCCGTACTGCAGTATTAAAAAGTCCCAGCCGGCGGGGGCTTTCAGGATCGCTTCGGGCTCTTTGGGGAGTTCTATGTCACCACGGAGAGGTATGCCACCATGACAGGCGCGGTGCGACGCAACAGGACCGTAAGTAGTGTAGCTGCTGCTGTGATCGTTGAGTGTCCTGCAAGTTGAGCTGTTCCCCCCTGCTCGTGATCTTGACAATGTGTGGACACTGGCAGTTCGCGTGTGCATGGCAACTCATCGCCGTGATTTGTTCAGCCTCGTAAGGTCGTCTCCAACAGTCTTGTACCAGGGCTGGCTTTCGCTGAGCAGAATTTCTGACAATATCTGAACCTGCATCCCGTGCGCTGTGTATACAGTTCCTTTGCATGATTAGCAGATGGAAAAACACTACTGGGCAGCAGGTAGAAGTATCATATCATCCTCGGTCCATACCCTGTTGAGGCCGCGGGAAGGACAACGGTATGTACGGCCAAGACCGCTTCATAGCTGGCGAAGCCACACTGAAAGGCGGAATCGTGCCTCTCGGCTTGCTCACAGCTTTTCGAGTCATTATCACTTGTTTGTCCTCTGCACCTGCAGTTCGGATAGTAGCCTCTGTTTCTGGAAGCAGAGCTGGTCCCGGCACCACGCGACAGCGCGCAAACTACAAAGCAGAGCCCAAGCCAGAAACAGAAGAAGCAGCGTTCAGGCTCTTACCAACTGCAACCTTGTAACAAGGAAAGGGCGCTGCCCGAAGCAATCGACAAGTGCCAAACCGCAGGAGAGAAGAGAGCCTCTTTCCATGAACACTGCCGGACAGACCGAGCGAAAGCGAACCAAACACAAGAAGTCCAACCCGAAGCTAAAGAGAAGCAGCGTTCTTAGCAGAAAACAAAACCAACTGCAACCGCAACAAAGGGAAAGGGCACTGCCCGGTGAGACGACAGACGTCAAACCGGCAGGAAGGCAAGGGCGGAAGTTGCCGGTGACAGAAGCGGCGTTCTCGCACCGAAAGTGTTCACCGCCCAACGCAGAAGCCGCGCGAGGGCAAAACAGCTGTCCAGGGTAAAAGAAACCTTGATCCTAAATCCTGAACTCTAGATTTCGGCTTTCGCCGGGCTGTTGCAGCAAGCAACACTCGAAAATGCTTCTCAATGTGTGTTTCAGAAAGTTTATCATGAAAGCACGTACTGCCTAAGCAATGGGGTACTTGCCAGCTTAGGCAGTGTGGCCAGAACTCTGGAGCCCCCCAACAGCCCAAGGTATCCGTACTATTGGTACACCTTTACAGCTTTGGCCTCGCCCTCGGAGCGGAGAGAAGGGCTGGTCTCTTCACACCGGTCCAAATAAGTCCTTGACCTATGTTGCAGGTGTACCGAAGGCCGCAGTACGCAGATGGTTTTGCATTGGCTTACGAGCAGGACCGAGCGGGTTCCAAGTACTCGCAGCTCGCAAGCCAACTCTTTGCCAACCGCCATCTGAAAAGGAGAACCGGATGATCGATACCTTCGATCCAAGCACCAATCGCTCGGAGTACGTGCAGCGCTCAGCGAAACTTTGCTGGTGCCTGCAGTCCGAACTTGAAGCGTCAAGTGAAAAAAGGGCACACGTTCCGACACTGTCGGGTGCAGCCCCTGACAAAGCTCCACCAAGGCGCAATGGATTTTCTGCAACAATCACGACAACTGGCGTCTCCAGACTCTTACTGGAAAGAACCAGCTGCTCATGTGCCCGGCTCCCAAGCAAAAGCAAAGACATGGGCGTTTGAATTGTTGCTGCTTGCCTTCTCATTGTCTATTAGAGTCTGTTGATGTCTGTTGGTGATGTTGGGCTAGCTTGAACCATTTTGATGTGATTGCGGTTGAGATGATGATGACGATGATGATGATAATGCATGATGGTGGCGTGTATGTCCGTACACACGCATGCATGCATGTAGGTACGTACGTACGTACGTAACGTAAGTACGTATGTCTGTAGGTATGTAGGCATGTAGGCATATAGGTATGTAGGTATGTAAGCTTATGGAAGGAGGGAGGTATGCCATAGATACAGGCATGTATGCATTTATGCGACTTGCGATATGACGGGCACCATGATGACGAGACATGTAGGTGTCATTCGTGTCATTGGCATTCGCTGCAGCCTAAGAGATGGCTATATAGCTGAGGTTTGTGTGAATGAATGATTGTCTGCACGGGAGAGGGGGAGAGAGGGTGCTTGTCGACTGATTCACGCGAGTACGTGGCTTGGAACCTTATAAGCGCCAAACCCAGCTGCCAACACCAGGGGCCTGGAACCCGAAAGCCGTCGCGCTGACATCCCGATCTAGCTGGGCTTCTAGGCAAGAGGTTGCCACAGGTCTGTTGTGAGATTTACAACATGAGCAACAGGAGAAATGGTAGAGGAGGTGGAAACAAGCACAATAAGAGTATCAACCTAGTCAAAGTCCTGTTGACACGTGTACAGATGCCGAGCAGTACTTCTAGCAAGCGTACTGCTTGGGAGACGAGTGCCATTTCCGGTGCCCACGTTAACGCCAGTGCAGAAACGAAAATAGAAGCAACAAGGCTAGACTCAACAAGAGTTCCAGGAATCTCACCAGCATTTGGCCTAAACCCTAAACCCTAAACCCTAAACCCTAAACCCTACACCCTAAACCCCAAAATCTGAACCCTAAACCCTCCAAGTCCCTAGCTGTTTGAGCAGCCCGGACTGCAGGTCTGGCTATCATCACCTTCTGGCCAGGGCTGTCCGGTGCTCAGCCTCCCAAAGAGTCCAGCTTAAGGGGCTCCAGAACCCCTTAATTAAGGAATATACCTTAAATCATATTAGCAATCCTATTATAACTTAAGGTATATTCCTTAATTAAGGGGTTTTGGAGTCTCTGGGCAGCTTCAGGCTCAGTCTTTCTCAGAGGGTGCGGGCTTCCGAACTCCCCTGATACAGGGTCCTTCATCATTAGGATAGGGTTTTTGGGGCACTTTCTAGTACAACTACAATAAGGAACCCTAAACCCTAAACCCTAAGCCCTAAACCCTCAACCCTAAACCTAATACACACTACTCTCTGATGTGGCTTCGCGGGCCAGGCCCCTTCACTATGCGGGAGACGAGCAGGACCTTGGTACGTGCGGGAACCTGGAAAGTCCCAGCTTCCTGGGCTGATGTGGGTTTAGGATTTAGGGTTTAGGATTTAGGGTTTAGAGTTTAGGATTTAGGGTTTAGGGTTTAGGGTTTAGGATTTAGGGTCCAGGGTTTAGGATTTAGGGTTTAGGTTTAGGGTTTTAGTCTTATCGTAATCGACAAGACTCGACAACCGAGTTCTGACCGACACTTGCATGGATCACTGGGATGAGATAAGCAATTGTACTTCTCCTTCCACTGAGCTTTCGATCAGTGTCGAGACCAATTGCGACGGGC